TCCAGCCCCTGTCAACTTCCATCCTGTACTTCTATAAGTTTGACTATTTCTGATAATATATATCAGTGAGAACATAAAGTATTTGTATTTTTCTGTCTAGCTTATTTTCCTTAACATAATGTTCTCTGGGTTTATCTATTTTGTCATAATTGGCACAATTTTCTTCTTCTTCTCCTCCTCCTCCTCCTCCTCCTTCTTTTTTTAGGGTTTTTCCATATAGCACATGCACTCTCCAGAGAAGGAAAGTGAGAAATCACCCCATGGAAGAATGGCCATGCAGCAATTCCTGGCTTCTTTGTTCTCCCCTCAGGATTTTGGACATGCACACACACACACTTCTGATAGGATTTTCCAGCTGCTAGGTCTGGAACTTGAGTCGTGGTTGGCCATATGGGGATCCAGTGCCTGAACTACTGCAATCCTTACTGGCCCCACATTTTCTTCTTTTTTGGCTGAATAATATTCCATTGTATACATAAGCCATAATTTCTTTATCTATTCATGAGAGTGGACATTAGGTTGTATCCATATCTTGGTTACTGCAAAGAGGGCTAAACTGAATAGGGGAGTGCAGATATCGCTTCGATATTCTAATTTCAGTTACTTTGGATGTATAACCAGAAGGTTCCATATCTTTTTTTTTTTTTTTTTGAAGGGGTTTTTTTTTTGCTATAGGGCATGTTCACTCGCCAGACAGACAGGGAGAGACAGAGAGACAGAAAGCGAGAAATCACCCTCCAGGAGGGATGGTCACGCCGCAATCCCTTCTCCTCCATTCTCCTCTCGGGATCTTGGGCACGCATGCACACGCGCCCAGCATGAGTTTAAGCCACCGGGTCTGGGATGCAAACCGCGGTCGACTACATGAGAGTCCAGTGACATAGCCATTACGCTAACTGCTGGTCCCAAAAGTTCCATATCATTAAGGAGCAGATAATTCAATAAGTTATACCTGAGAAGTGATACATACTCAACAGAATATCCAGACTTTAAAAATAGGGCACCTGTAGCCATCTTCTTTGGCAAGAGAAGAGTATAACTATACTACCCTGTTGACTGAATCAAGTTAATATATTGCAAAAGAGCAAATGATGATATTAGTGTTCTCTTATGCAATGGAGACACCTTATCAGCTCTTTCTCCAGAAGGGCAGCCATCTCAGTGTCACCAAAGTGGGCTGATGGAGACCTAAGAGATCGTTTGGAAACTGCTCTGGATCTGCTTAAACACATGAGCAACTCAGTGGCTAGTATACAGGGATAGCTTCATGTGCAATCACACAAGAACCTGCTCTCAGAAGGGTCTTGCACTTGATTTAAAGCTCTGGTGTCACCATCTCAGAATGATTAATAATTGAATTTTTGAATTTGTGCTTTGTTAGTAAAGTCTCTTGGGACAATTGAGCATGTACGTGAGTAGCAGAGATACACCAGGTGGCAGTGGGTCCATACACAGGCCTATTCTTGTGCCTATGACAAGCAGTGTGGGTATCAATCAGCCTGGTGGCCTGTACTCAGGTGCATGCCTCAGGACAGTTTAGGGAGCCATAGGGTCCAAAGGCAGTCAGGTCAAGACTTGGGTCAAGATGGGTGATAGTGGTGCAGCAATAGCAAGAGAAGCAGCAGTGACAGCAAAAGTAGTACTGGCAGCTAGAATAGCTGTGGCTTCAGGAGAAAGAAGAAGCTGTGCATTGGGGCAACTCTGGGACTCACCAGGGGAGGCATATAGTGTCCCGGCCCCCGGGACAGTTGAACAGGTTCCTTGGGGGAGGGAGTGAGAGATGGGACAAACACACACACACACAATATGAGGTGCTGATCAAGTCGTCTTCTTCCATCTACTTCTGTTTATTCAGCAAAAATGGCGAGTTATATACAGCTGGTGGGAACCAATTGGTTGCCCGAAATGCAAATGAGATAGAACAGCATGAACCAATCATTGATGTGGGTGGATCTCTCCTGTTGCCTAGAAACCTAACCACTTCCGGGGAGAACAGTTGGTCACATGATTTCTGAGAACCAATTTGCTCAGTGAGGAAGTGAAGCCTGATGGTTTCCAAGATGGTGGATAGCTCAAGATGGCTTCCGTATGCAGTGCTCGCCGCAATATAGGAACATATCGGAGGGCATATAGGGAGGTTTCTGAACATATAGGAAGGACAAGAACTGCTGGCACTCATGCAGAAGACTTTTTCAGTAATTTATTACAAAATAAAATACATAGAAATTGCAATAAATTGTATCAAGGGCAATTTAAAATTCTTCAAATTGTTTGAAATCACCAGTTTTGAAAACTACCACAACATTGCAAATATTGATGGACGTAGACATAGAAAACAAATGTAAAAGATCATTGCATTTAACAGAAAAGAACACTTTTCATATGAAGTTTTGAGTAAACCAAGTAAATATTAACAAGGAAGACCATTTTTAAATAATTATTTTATTTAACTTTATTCATTTATTTATTTCAATTTGACCAGAGAGGGATAGAGTGAGAGCGAGAGAGAGGGAAAGTGAGAAAACAAGGTCCAGGACTTGAGCCGCGGTTGGCCATGTGGGAGTCTGGCGCCCTTCATCACCATGCCACCTATCAGCCCCAGGAAGACCATTTTTAATGTAATTTTTTCTTTGTATTTGAGCATACAGAAATGGAATGCATAAGCAAGTGTTTTGGTGCTTATACAAACCATAAAGTCACTTTAAGATTCTTGAACAGCCTCCACAAGTTACAGGAAATGGCAAAGGAAACATTAAAATAGCAAACTAACATTTTAAATTAAGTTCATACATGACACTGATTAGTATAAAGAGTTAAATCTTTTGGGGGAAATTATTCTATAAGAATCATTAGCTCTAGATGTTGTATTTTGAAACAGTTTCTCAGAAACTATTGTCATAGCCTACAAATACTTTTAACAACTCCAGTAACAGCGGCATGGGCAGGGGGAGTCTTCTCAAAATTAAAAAATGCCAAAAATTATTTGTCATCTTACATTTCCTAAGAGGTACTGACATCACTTTCAGCTGTATCAATTGAAAATGAGTTGTACAAAGTACAAAGTTTGGTGATCTAATAAATGAATTTTCAGAAAAGTGAGCCAGAATGATATTATGATTAATCAAGATATTGCATTATTGAATTTATTATATAAAATTAAAACACCAAAATAATGTTCTTGCAATTTGTAAGTTCATGTTTGGTTCATTTATCACTGTTATATTTCATAAGTAACGTAATACTTTTAAAGAGAAAACTTTACATTTTAGTAACCTTGATAGCACATTTCTCTTGCTTTTTAAACAAGGACCCTCACTTTTTCTTTTCACACTGGTCTTACAAATTGTGTAGATGGCCCTGTTGAGACGTATGATTTAGAGAAGAAAATTCTCCAAAGCTGAGGTTGGCAGTTGCCTACAGCAATCACAGAAGAACCTTAGCTTTGCTTCTGTGGGATTTTGGTTTGGGACAAACTAACTTCCCAATAAGTAGTGAATGGATTATTTTTACTTAATTGATTTAGCATTTAAGCATTTTACTTCTGAAAACCAAATAAATTATTTATAATTAAAATATTCTTTGGACACCAGAAGAGTAGCAGAGCTACAGCAGAACTACAATTGTTCCATTGGCAATTATTTTCAGCACGCGTTCTACTCTATGTGTTACTTTCTCAGTCAATTATTTTCAGCACGCGTTCTACTCTATGTTTTTCTTGCTCAGTTGAAAGTGCATGAGAAATACAATATAGTTCTTGTTTCAAGAAGTCTAATAAGGGGAACCAGCAGTTAGAGTAATGGCTATGTCACTGGACTCCCACGTAGTCAACCGCAGTTCGCGTCCCGGACCCGGTGGCTTAAAACTCACGCCAGGCACATGTGCGTGCGTGCCCAAGATCCTGAGAGGAGAATGGAGGAGAAGGGATTGCGGTGTGACCATCCCCCCTGGGGGGTGATTTCTCTCTTTCTGTTCTCTGTCTCTCTCTGTCTGGCGAGCGCACGCGCCCTATAGCAAAAAACCTCTCCAAAAAAAGAAGTCTAATAAGGAAGACAATATGAAAAACAGTAAATTATAATGCAGTATGTTAAGGGTAACAATGGAATTATGTACAAATTATAGATTATAGAGGTGTCAGAAAGCAAAGTGTGTTTTGGGACAGTGGGATAGCGTCTTGTCTATTTGATTCATAAATGTCTAGGTTGATATTGACTTGCACTTTCACTATAATCATTTTGTTTCATGCACTTAATGGAAAGCAAAGAGTCTGTGCTTGAGATCAGACACCTACCAGCCCTGCCACCAGTGCAATCATTGTGCCTTCCATAGGCTTGGCTCCCTGAAAACCTGTTTCTGCATTGCCTTACCTTATTCATGTCCATATCTCAGACTGACTGTTGCTTTAAATTTTCCCAAAATTATTGCATTTAACTTTGTGTTACATTTTAAGGGTGAAGGTTGTAGTCATTTATCCATTCAACAAACAGTAATAGAATGCCTCTATGGTGCTTAGTAAACTCAGAAATTAAGCTTCTGCCCTCATAGAGCTTATATTATAATTATGTGTGTATGTTTTAAAGAATTATTTTATTTAAATTTATTTATTTACTTACGTATTTGACCATAGAAGGACAGAATGAGAGAGAGAGAGTGAGAAGGAAGTGAGAAAGCAAGTCACCAGGTCCGAGACTCGAACTGTGGTTGGCCATGTGGGAGTCCAGTGCCTTTAACCACCACACCACCTGCTGGTCCCTAATTATGTGTTTTATTTCTCCATTGTAACAATAACCTACTTTTTAAAAATAGAATGATTGATTGACATGTAGCAACAGGGTATCATTACAACAAGGCAACCTTTTATAATAATGAGACAAAGCTAACTTTCTGGACTTATAGTTTCATTAAAGAAGAGCTTATTCTGGTTGATTTTGCTTACTTTCATTATTTCTTTATTAATGTTATCTCATCAGTGAATAGCTAAATATGGAATGCTTTTATTTTAGAATCGTGAAAAATGGAAGACAGTGCCACAGACACAGAAAAAGAAGAGGAAGAAGAGAAAGATGAAGCAGATCAAGAACCAATTCATGCCATAGCACCCACAATCAACATTCAAGATGAGCGGTTTGTTGATTTATCTCAAACGCCAGCTTTCCTTTTTCTAAATGAGGTACATGTCTTTTTATATATTATTGTAGAAAAACCTGAATCATCACCTATTTTAAAATTCAGATGAAGCCAGTATCAGCAAAAGTATTTATTACATACATCCTGTAGGCAATAGTTACTATCCGAAGCACTTGCAAATAAAATGGGTTTTGCCTGCTCTTCAGAGAGCTCATCATGTAATTTTAAACTAATGTAGTAGTAGAGGTTCTGATACTTTCATAGCATAGTAAGCATTTGCATATACATATAGTCAGTTACTTACATTTTATGGTTTCATATATGAAATACAAAAGAAGAATTCTCTCACTGCTATATGTACTACATTTGCTTCTGCAAAATGAACACAGAAGATCTCCTCAGGACTAGCAGATGGTGTAATGGTTACATCACTGGACTCCCATGTAGTCGACCACAGTTCCAGTCCCAGACCCAGTGGCTTGAAACTTACGCTGGGTGCATGTATATGCCCAGATCCCAAGAGTAGAAAAGAGGAGAAGTGATTGTGGCATGGCCATCCTCCCAGCGGGTTATTTCTTGCTTTCTGTCTCTCTGTCTCTCTGGAGAGTGCATATGTCCTATAGCAAAAATCTCTCTTAAAAAAAGATCTTATATGGTAAAAGAAACATTTACCTAACTAAATATTGTTCTGCAAGGTAGCACTGAAATCTGTTATTAACTATCAGCAAAAAGATAAAAAGGTGATTATGATAAATTAAATATTCTCATTGTCTGATTTTTAAAAGTCAAGATGAACATTTGGAAAATATACATATATGAGAAGTTTTCTGAAAAATAATAATATATGCAACTATTATCTTGTCATGGTAGTGAGCTGTTCTTTAGAAAATTATTTTGAGGGCATTTAAATTCCACACTGTTAAAGTATGTACATATAACTGAATAAAACATTCTTAGACATTTTATAATTGTAATACAAATAAGTTTTCAAAGTTTTAGGGCAAAACCAGAATTTATACAAAGTCAAGAAGAAAAACTACATTAGCATAGAATACGATAAAAAAGTAATTTTTAAATGATATTTTATATGTATATATAAAATAAGATTCACATTGCTGAACTGTTTACTTTTTTCAATAGTTTTGGCCTTTTTTTATTTTGACATAATTTTATACATGCAGGAAAAATGCAAGAATAGTACAAAGAATCCCCATGTATAGTCACTCAGATCCCTCAGACGTTAATCTCTTACCATATCTGCTTTAGCCTTTTCTTTCGACCTTTTCGTTCTCTCAATCTTGGTCTCTTCTCTCTGAAGACACAATGTTCCTTTCAATATAGGCATACTTTGGTTTGTCGTGTTGTACTTTATTGCTCTTCATAGGTACTGCTTTTTTTTAGAAGTTGAAGTTTTGTGACAACTCTGTATTGAGCCAAGTCTATTGACACCATTTTTCTAATAGCATATGCTCACCTCGTGTCTCTGTGTCACATTATGGTAAATCTCACAATATTTCAGACTTTATTATTATTATATATCTATGACCTATGATTAGTTATCTTTGATGTTACTATTATCATAATTTTGTAGTGCCACAGTCCAAGCCCATGTAGGACAGCAAATTTAATCGACAAGTGTATGTGTTCTGACTGCTCCCTTCCACCATCTCTCTCCTCTTCTTAGGCCTCCCTATTGCCCAAGACAAAACAATATTGAAACTAGGCCAATTGATAACCTTATAATGTCCTGTAAGTGTTCAAGTGAAAGGAAGATTTATACATTTCCCACTTGAAATAAAATACTGGAAAAGAGTTTTCTTAGTGAGAAAGACATGTGAAAAGCTGAGTTAGGCCAAAAGCTAGGCCTCTTATACCAAACAGCTAGCCAAGTTGTGACTGCAAGGGAAAAGTTCTTGAAGGAAATTAAAGTGCTACTCCAGTGAACACACAAATGATGATAGAAACAACTTTTTTGTTGACATGGAGACAGTTTTTTTTTTTTTTTAAGAGAGATTTTTGCTATAGGGCACATGCACTCACCTCGCCAGAGAGACAGAGAGAGGCAGAGACAGAAAATAAGGGACCACATTTTGAAAGCTCCTAACAAGAGAATCCTCCCCCCCCCGACCTCCACCCCCCAACACACACACACATACATACACCCAGCATGAGTTTTAAGCTGCTTGGTCCAGGACTCAAACTGCAATTGACTACGTGGGAGTCCAGTGACATAACCATTATTCCATCTGCTGGTCCGGACATAGAGACAGTTTTAGTGGTCTAGATAGAAGATCAATTCAGCCATAGCATTCTCCAAAGCCAAGCCTAATCTAGAGCAAGGTCCTAAATCTCTTTAATTCTGTGAAGGTGAGAAGGAAGCTACAGAAGGAAAATTTGAAGCTAGCAGAGGTTGGTTCATGAGGTTTAAGAAAAGAAGCCATCCTCATAACATGAAAGTATAAGGTAAAGCAGTAAGTTGTTAATGTAGAAACTGCAATAAATTATCCAGAAGATTTAGCCAAGATCATTGATGAAGGTGGATATGCTACACAACAGATTTTTAATCTAGATGAAACAGCCTTATATTAGAAGTTATCAATGAGGACTTTTCCAGAGAGGAGTCAGTGCCTACTTTCAAAGCTTCAAAGGACAGACTTATTCTCTTGTTGGGAGCTTTCAAAATGTGGTCCCTGGTGTAACAGTGTTGAGACAAGGTGGTAAGACCTATAAGAACTGAGTCTTAGTGAGTGGTGATTAAATCACAGAGGCATCATTCTCATGAATGGATTAGTATTTCCTAGTGAGACCCTGTGAGTTCTAGCTCTCATGAGAAGGTGTTAATTCTCATAAGTGTGGATTGTTATAAAAGGAAGATATCTGCTTCCAGGTCTCTCTCTCTCTCTGCACATACCTGTCATCCTCTTTGCTTCTATTAGCTATGTTATGATGCTGACACACATTTTTGGACTTCTCAGCTACTGGAATTATAAGTCAAAGAAGATTTTTTTTTTAGATTTGTACTACAGGGCATATGCACTCACTGGAAAGACAGAGAGATATGGAGAGAAAGAAGGAGAAATCATCCATCAGGTGTGTGACCATACCACAATCCCTTCTCCTCCGTTCTCCTCTCAGGATTTTGGACACACACACCCACATGTGTCTGGCATAAGTTTCATTCTATCATGCCTAGGACTAGAGCCATGGTTGAGGAGTCCAGCACCTTAACCTACCATACCACCTGCTGGCCCCAAGACTCTATTCTTTGTAAATCATCCAGTCGTAGATATTTTCTGTAAGCAACACAACAATGGACTAAGACAGAGCTAATGCAGCTCGCAACTAAGTTAAAGCCAATGTTCACTTATCATTCCCCAAATCCTAGGGCCCTTAAGGATTATGCTAAATCTTCTCTACTCTGCAAATGGAACAACAAAGCCTGGAGGACAGCACATCTGTTTACAGCACTGTTTACTGAATAATTTTAGACCACTGTTGAGACCAACTGCTCAGGAAAAAAAAGAAAAAAGATATTCTTTCCAAATATTAGTGCTCAATGACAATGTACCTGGCTTCTCAAGACCGCTGATGGAGATGTACAAAGCAAATAATGTTGTTTTCATGCCAGCTAACATAGCCTCCATTTTATAGCATATATATGAAAGAGTTATTTTGACTTCCAAGTCTCATTATTTAAGAAATACATTTCATAAGGCTCTAGCTCTTGTAGATGGTGATTCCTCTGATGGCGCTGAGTAAACTAAATTGAAAACCTTCTACGAAGGATTCACAGTTTTGGTTGACATTAAGAACATTTATTATTCATGGTAAGAAGTCAAAACATCAACATTAACAGGAGATGGACGAGGTTGAGTCCAGCCCTCATGGATGACTTTGAGGGACTGAGGATTTTAGTAGAAGTCACTAAAAATGTAGTAGAAATATTAGGTCGTCAGAAAAGTTATGACATATTTTTTTTAATCTATTGCCTGAGGAATGTGTTAGGGGGTGGCATTCACAGCTCTCTGAAGTTTGGGCCCAAACAATTTTTACAGTCTAATCATTTACTTAGGCACTGCTCATTTTCTGTTGATGTTCTTCTGGGCAAGGACTCTCCATTTTGTAGAAGTAATAAATTCAGGTGCCCTCCCAACTGGCATATGTTCAAAATACATGCCTATCCATAAATCTACTTACTCACATTGCCCCTTAAAAGGACAGTGCCATTCAAACTAAAAAGAAAACTGAATCCTCACATAGGCCATACTTTGCAATCCCTGCATCTGTTTCAGTTTTCTTGTCCTTCAGAACAGAGTATCCAGTTCACAAGTATTTCTCCAACCTCTCAACAATTCCAGCATTTACAAGCCACATCTGTCAGTTGGTGCTTAGTCATTTTCAAGTATTTATTGAATATCTTCTCATCATAAAATATTTTGCATAGAAAATCTAAAGTTCCTCACTAACATAATCACATTAAGCACAGGGCAAGAACTACACTGTATTAATTCACTCTTTGGGATGAATGTTCGAAGAGTGGGGAACTAAGCCACTAAGCAGACTGTGGTTAGTTCTGGGTTTCTGCTCCCCAACTTGGCCATTCTGCCTGACTATGAAGCCTGGCACTCTATAAACTTTTCTTATTCACAGAAAATGAGATCTGACCCCATTTTCTTCTTTAAAATTTTTTTTTCTCTTATGGTATAACATATATATGGTAAAGCTCACAAATAGTAAGCAAACTGCTCAGTGGATTTTTATATATGCCCACACAAATTATTTTTATATAAATAACACAACAATGCATTCAGAACTACTGCATTCAGAACTGAATTCATCAATTTTGCCAGCCCTAGCTTTCTTTCTGTGTTCTCTTTGTCAGTTTGAGAGTTAAATATTACTTTCAAATGGCTCTTGGAATTTATCTTTTCTTCTACCATATTCCCAGTCAGATCAAGATATAGTCCCAGGGGTTTCCTGGAAATCCTTCCCAGTCATCACTCTCAGCAAAGACAACTACTTTCTGATTTATCACTATATGTT